ATCAAAAAGTGGGCAAAGGATATGAACAGACACTTCTCAAAAGAAGACATTTATGCAGCCAACAGACACATGAAAAAATGCTCATCACCACTCGCCATCAGAGAAATGCAAACCAAGACCACAATGAGATACCATCTCACACCAGTTAGAATGGTGATCATTAAAAAGTCAGGATGAGTTCATGTCCTTTGTAGGGACATGGATGCAGTTGGAAACCATCATTCTCAGCAAATATTGCAAGAACAGAAAACCAAACACCTCTTGTTCTCACTCATAGGTTGGAATTGAACAATGAGAACACTTGGACACAGGAAGGGGAACATCACACACTGGGGCCTGTTGTGGGACTGGGGGACGGGGGAGGGATAGCATTAGGAGATATATCTAATGTAAATGATGAGTTAATGGGTGCAGCACACCAACATGGCACATGTATACATATGTAACAAACCTGACATTGTGCACATGTACCCTAGAACTTAAAGTATAATAAAAAAATAAAAATAAATAAAAATCTGATGTTATCAAGACAGTTTTTTGGGGGTTTTAATTATTTTTACATTCAACCTTTGTTGTTGTCATGCAATAATTGAATCTTTTTATTTTGGTAAGTGACTTTATTCCTTTTACATTCACTGTTCTAGAAATATTTGCATTAGTTCTGGCATCTTTAGTTTATGCTGCATGCTCTGTGTTTTTCTTTTGTGTGTACATGTTTTCTGATTTAATTAGAATGTTTAGTCTGGCTTTAGTTTTGTAACAGTTTATTTTAATTTTCTTAAACCCCCAACTTATCAGCTTTTGAGAGCATCTGTTGAGACCCTGCTAATGAAACTTACACATATATTTACTTCCTCCTTTTTACATCTTCAGTTACACTTTTTTTTTTTTATGGCATATTATGTTCTGCTCTTTTAATGTCCTTAGTTGTTTAGCCTCATTTCTACATTTAAATGGATTGAATGCTCACTATTATTTCTTTTCTACCATGGCTGCTCATTTCTGAGCCTTTTATTTTGGCTTGTCTCTTGGTTTTAAGATTATGTACTTTTTAAGGAAGAGCTCCTGGGTATTATATAATCTCTAGTTCTCATATGTTTGACAATATCTATCTGTGTCTTTATGCTTGAATACCATCTTGGCTTGGTATAAAATTCTTGGATATAGAGTTTCTTTCTGTGAGGAAGTTGCAAACACTGTTTCATAGTCTTTCAGTATTCAATTTTACGGAGGCATGCTGATTTTTTTTTTTTTAACCAGTTGTCTGGTGACTTGAATTTTTAAAATTGGAAAAAAAAAAAACTCAATGATATACCTTTATTCATCCTTGAGTTCTAGTAAATTCACAATGCAAATCTGGGGTCAATCACTATTCATTATCAGTATTTCCTGGACAAGGTGTGATTTCTGACCTTTCCTATTCAGGTTTTCTTTTATTTCAAAAAAGCTTTTCTATTGTCTTTTAATATATTTTGCTATTTTATATATTCTTTTGTCTAAAATACATAAATAAGATCCCATTTGCTCTCCTTACATATACCTAATTTTCTTTTGGATACTTTTTTTGTTCTTTTCTATTACATTTTACTTGATCTTTCATAGTCTTCTTCCTCACCTCCAGTTTTTCCTAATTAAAGTCCAGAAGTACACATCCACAAAATGATTTTAATGCTTAATAGAACTGTACTGGGTACATGCAGTATAATTTTATTAATCTTCCCATTAGATATCTAGATGGCCTCCAAATTTTCACTATTCTAAACATCCACACTTGGGGTGTGTGTGTGTGTGTGTGTGTGTGTGTGTCAGGGTCTAGCTCTGTCTGTCAGGCTGGAGTGCAGTTGTGCAATCTCAGCTCATTGCAGCCTCTGCCTCCCATGCTCAAGTGATCCTCCCACCTCAGCCTCCTGAGTAGCTGGGACTACAGGCACACACCACTACACCAGGCTAATTTTTGTATTTTTTGTAGAGATGGGGTTTCACCACATTGCCCAGGCTGGTCTCAAACTCCTAGGCTCAAGCGACCTCTTTGCCCCAGTCTCCGAAAGTGCTAGGATTACAGGCATGAGTGACTGCGCCCGTCCAATCCACACATATTCTTTTTTTTTTTTGAGACGGAGTCTGGCTCTGTCACCCAGGCTGGAGTGCGGTAGCGCGATCTCCACTCACTGCAAGCTCCGCCTCCCGGGTTCACGCCATTCTCCTGCCTCAGCCTCCCGTGTAGCTGGGACTACAGGCGCCCGCCACTGCGCCCGGCTAATTTTTGTATTTTTTTAGTAGAGACGGGGTTTCACCGTGTTAGTCAGGATGGTCTCAATCTCCTGACCTCGTGATCCACCCGTCTCGGCCTCCCAAAGTGCTGGGATTACAGGCGTGAGCCACCGCGCCCGGCCCAATCCACACATATTCTTAACTGCAGCAATGTTGCCTCTTAAGATTGGTACGCTAACCGTAATTCCTAGTATGGAAGCTCAATACCAAAAAAACCTTTAAATCATGCTTGTGAATCCATTTCTCTATATTCTCATGCAGTCAGGCTTAAGATACTGAGTGCACAATGAATGATTTTAAGGGTTTCCAGGTCATCGCCATAAAAATGAAATCCTAGTTTTGTGGCTAAGCAGGTTAAAGAAATCTCTCAATGAAAGAAAGTGCTTTGGTGATGGCTTGGTTCAGCACCCTCAAAAAAGCTAATATTTAATGGTAGATGTATAAGTTGGTACAATCTATATTGAGGACTATTTGACTTTATCTATGGGGCTGGATAGTTTCTGTTTATCCCTCTAAACCTGCTCTTCCCCGATCTCTGTGCCTCAGGAGGCTGATCTGAATGGACCACATCAGAGACCACATTTGAGACACTATCTCAAAAAAAATAAAAATAAAAATAAAAAATAAAAAATTCATCTATCTTTCTATATATATTTAGATAGATGGAGAGAGAGGCTCTTTGGAAGGGTAAGCAAGAACATGATGACACTTGTAGCTTCTGGAGAGGAGAACTGGGTAGGAGGAAACTTCTTACTATTTCTTTTGTTTCTTTGAATATTATATCATATGAATAGTGCCTGTTCAAAAAGTATACTACATTAATGAGAAAGATTAATTGAGGCCTTTACAGAAGCTATGACTTAATAAGGAAGAATTAGAAGAATTACAGAAGGAGTTACTAGAAGATGATGGAAAAAATCAGCAAATTATAAAGTTGCTGAAATGATCCAAGGAGTCAAATTCTTGGATAATTAAATTTCTTAACATGGTCCCTTTATGGAATTATGCTCTGACTAGTAGAAATACATGTAGAAGTTACTTCCTGCACAAAACCAAGTATAATAATTTGTTCTAAACATAATCATCTTTATTACTGAAGGAGCTTTAGTTTAGTGTTTTTTTTTTTTTTTTTTGGAGACAGATTTTTGCTCGTTGCCCAAGCTGGAGTGCAATGGCGCGATCTCGGCTCACTGCAACCTCTGCCTCCCAGGTAAAAGCAATTCTCCTGCCTCAGCCTTCCAAGTAGCTGGGATTACAGGCTTGCGCCACCACACCTGGTTAATATTTTGTATTTTTAGTAGAGACAGGGTTTCTCCATGTTGGTCAGGCTGGTTTCAAACTCCCGACCTCCGGTTATCCGCCCGCCTTGGCCTCCCAAAGTGCTGGGATTACAGGTGTGAGCCACCGTGCCTGGCCACAGCTTTAGTTCTTTTAGCCTCCTCCTTTATATACAGGGTTTATCAATATCAGCAAAACAGTAGTTTGATTGTTCAGTGATCTTGATTTCCAGTGAAAGATGAGACTTGTTAAAGGAAATGGACACGAGAAGACTATCAGGAAATGAGTGAAGATTGCTGGAAAAGGTAATCATTTAACTAAAGTTGGTTAAATCACATTTTTATGCTATTCAAAAATGGAAAAAATAGAAAAGGATTTTGTAAGGGGGTCTGAATATTCTGGACATGCGCATTCCTGTTAAAAAGTTCTACAAGACATAGGGAAACTCACTCACCCTTCCTGGAATTGTGCTTGGGCAGATTCCTCTGCAACAAGAGTCTCATACTCCTCAGCGGCAAACCGGTCCCAGTCTGAGGGCTCAGGCCCATCGTTCTCAACATCCTGATTGGAAAGAAGACAGCCACAAGAAACAAAAATAATCAAAGACAAAGAATTGGAGATAGATCATCACACAAATGTATACTGTGAAAAAATCCTAACTGAAATGTTTCATTTCAACAGGTTTAAAAGAGGTGCTAAGGTAACACTCCTACGGTAATTTTCCACACCTCAAAAGGGAAAATTTAACTGTTTAGAAGCTGGGTTTTTAAGGTATAGATTCCATTTTTTTCTTTTTCTTTTTTTTTTGAGATTGAGTCTCATTCTGTCACCTAGGCTGGAGTATAGTGGCACGATCTCAGCGCACTGCAGCCTCTGCCTCCTGGGTTCAAGCAATGTCTGGTGATCGGCCTCAGCCTCCCGAGTAGCTGGGACTACAGGCAAGTGCCACCATGTCCAGCTAATTTTTGTATTTTGTAGAGACAGGGTTTCGCCATGTTGGCCAGGCTGGTCTCGAACTCCTGACCTCAGGTGATCTGCCTGCCTCAGCCTCCCAAAGTGCTGGGATTACAGGCGGAAGCCACCGTGCCTGACTGATTCCAACTCTTTTTTTTTAAAAGAGACAGGGTCCCACTGTGTTGCCCAGTCTGGAGTGCAGTGGTACAATAATAGCTTACTGCCAGCCTCAAAATCTGGGCTCAAGTGATTTTCCTACCTCAGCCTACTGAGTAGCTGAGACTACAGGCATTCCACCTACTAAGCAGCTGAGACTGCAGGCATGTCACCATGCCCTGCTAATTTTAAAGTTTTTTTGTAGACACAGGGTCTCACTATGTTGCCCAGGTTGGTCTCGAACCCCTGGCCTCAAGTGATCCTCCTGTCTTAGCTTCCTAAGTAGCTGGGAATACAAGCACAAGCCATAGCACCTGCTAAGTCTAGATTCTTTAGCCTCGTAATCAGAGACATTTCTCTGGTCTCCTCTCCTCTGGCACTTTGCACAGCAGTCACCTGGAGTGACGTGTTTTGCCACAGGCCCGCCTGAAATGTACCTTCCCCAAGCCCGCATTCGCTGGCAAATTTTTGTTCTTTAGAAGCCAACTCAGATACCATGTTGTCTGTGATATCTTCCTGGAAACAGTCCTTTTCTCCGTATCACTTCCTTTTTTCTAATGCAGATACTTTGGTTGACACCTTTTGTTCTTGTATCTCTGCCATCTCCAAATATCCAGTATCTCTTCAACGTAGTGCCCAGAATTTATTAAGCACTTCCTGACTGATAATGTTCTTTGTAGATCAGAACAAACATCAATAATTATACCATTTACAAAGAAAAGTAAAATTTAAAGGTAAAATTTTTAGAGTAAAAATGGTAACACACAGAAAATAAGTAAAGAGGGAAAAGACCACAGACTTTTGTCAATTTTCTTGAAATTTTATGTTTCAGATAAAATGTCTTTCCAAGCTGAACATGAGTCAGTATTGCCCTTGGGTCTACAGTTAGTTATGCCAAGAATAATGTTAAGTTCCTAAACAATGACCACTATTAATTACTATATTTAATTCATTTTAAGACACATCTCTACCGTTCTAACATTTATGAAATTGCAATGCATTATAGGCTTACAACTGGCAATGTCTGGGGTTTTGTTTTTGCTTAGAGAAATATAAAATAGGCCGGGCACAGCGGCTCACGCCTGTAATCCCAGCACTTTGGGAGGCTGAGGTGTGCAGATCACCCAAGGTGGGGAGATCGAGACCAGCCTGACCAATATGGAGAAATCTTGTCTCTATTAAAGATTCAAAATTAGCTGGGTGTGGTGGTGCATGCCTGTAATCCCAGTACTCGGGAGATTGAGGCAGGAGAATCACTTGAATCTGGGAGGCGGAGGCTGTGGTGAGCTGACATCATACCATTGCACTCCAGCCTGGGCAACAAGAGTGAAACTCCGTCTCACACACACACGCGTGCACACACACACACACACACACAAAGAGAAACAAATATAAAATTATGGAGCATGTTAAACTCAATGAACTATAACAGACTTTAAACCAGCGATAACGCAACTTGATATGCTGAGATCAGCTGCAGAATATTTCTTTCTGGAAGGCAATAAATTCTTATTTATCTTATTTAGAAGGTGATCATATTCTTATTACTATTCCATAACTCAAACAGTTACGGAACATGTAGACGAAAAAAGACTACAAAGCTTCTTATAGTTTATTGTTACACAACTGCAACAGTCTGTTCTTAACATCATTTTTACTTCTTAGAGGAATGGTAAGAACAAGGGGTGACATTGTTTTTATTTTTAACATGGACAGTATGTATAGGGTTTTCTGAGGGTTCACAGGTTTGTGTGTCTGGGGAAGGGTATTCATCTTTATTCAGATGTAGAATGCATTCAAAACTGATAGCCATGTATAGCAATCATTAACACGTGAAAAAGCGTTATATTATTTGAAGGTTTTCTATCATGGAGAATTCTAGTTTTCACCATGATGGGGAAAGCTAATTACCATGGAATCCTGGAAATGAATGGTACAACTGAATCGAGGCCAATATAGTTTCTAATACAGATGTGCCTATTGATACATTTTTAAAAGTTAGAAGGAAAATTTTTTTTTTCAAAACTACTCTTTTGTAACTAGTTTCCAGTGTGTGTATCAGTAGATGAGCTATAGAGTCTGCTCAGTGGAAAGTGCTTATGCAGATGCAGGTTACCTAGACCTGATGATCGCCTGTGGAGAGACATGTGCTCTACAGGTCCTTTATTGTCTCTTTTTACTCTTTAATGAAATATTATAAATTATTACCTCTTTACTGAAACTCCAGCATGCAGAGACCATTTTAATATGTAGCACACACAGTCCCTGATACTACAGCCCTCAAATAAAAGTTAAAATTATACTGGTACCTTCTGGACCGCAAAGGGATCTCTCTGTTCATGGTCTAAGTATTTCTCTAGATTAAAGAAAGTGTCGTAGAAGATGTGAGCCATTCTGCACCTCTTCAGATCTCTTAGAGTTATTTTGCCTACATAAAAATAAACAAATCTGGTAAATTTCATGAAGACCTGTGTTGGCAAGAGAAAAAAACTTTCACTGACATCTAAAAGTATAGGTATATGTTTATTATAAAAGTCCTATTTTCAGAATAAAAAAATTTAAATCCCATTTCTTTTTTCAAGAGTATCAATTTCTCAAACCCATTTCTTTTTTTAAATTGAGGTAAAATTCACTAACAAAGTTCACCATTTAAACAACTTTAAAGTGCACAATTCAGTGGCTTTTAGTACACTCACAATGTTGCACCACCATTACCACTATCTAGTTCTGTAATAATATCACCCCAAAAGGAAACTCTGTGCCCATCAAGCAGTCCTTCCCCATCTCTCCTCATGTGCTTTCTGTGTCTAAGGAAAAATCTTCTTTCATCCCCCAAACCCTACTTTCATTTTCTTTTTAAAAAAGAGATAGGGTCTCGCTGTGTTGCCCAGGCTGGAGTACAATGGTTACTCACAGGAACAATCATAATGCAATACTCCCACCTCAGCCTCCTTAGTAGCTGGGACTATAGGCACACACCACTGTGCCTGGTGTAAAATCCTGTTTCTTAAATAGTAGACTTGCCATCAATTGCTACACCAAGACTGGGCATGGTGGCTCACGCCTATAACCCCAGCACTTTGGGAGACCAAGGTGGCTGGATCACCTGAGGTCAGGAGTTTGAGACCAGCCTGGCCAACATGGTGTAACCCCAACTCTACTAAAAATACAAAAATAGCTGGGCGTGGTGGTGGTCGCCTATAATCCCAGCTACTTGGGAGGCTGAGGCAGGAGGATCGCTTGAATCCAGGAGGTGGAGGTTGCAGTGAGCCGAGACTACGCTATTGTACTCCAGCCTGGCAGACAAAGCGAGACTGCATCTCAAAAAAAAAAAAAAGGTTGCTACACTAAGAGTCAAAGAGGAACTTTAAACACTTCTGTACTGGGAAGTCTTCTATCAAGACTCTGAAATGTTAAGCAATTTAGGACAATCTAGGATTCTGTGCCCCCCTCTGATACACAGGTGAACAGTGCAAATGTCCCATTGCTTGGTCTCACCATCAACGGCTGGCTTCACTAGGTCAAGCATCTGGCACAGTAAATCATGGAATGGCAAGGGCTCAATTCCCATGGCTTCCATCCGCTCACACTGCTCCTCATAGAAGTACTCCAGCTCATACATGGAGAGTATACCATCTCCATCCACATCCATGCAGCGGAACCAATACTCAATGCTAGGCGATAAGGACAATCATTATTATGGGCCTGGTAAATACCTTTCATTTATCCAGATTTAGTATGTTTCTTTTAAAATAAAAGTTACATATTACGTACACTTCAGGCTTAGATATAGTTTTACAAAGTTTGCTAGAGAAAATGGCAGACCCCTTCTTCCCTTTATTTTTCCACCCAGAACCAACCATGTTCAACCCTGATTATTTTGCTTTTTACCTTCCTATTTTCAGATAACATGCCTATATTGCTCCTTTCTTGTATTTCTTTTCAGAACTATTATTAGAGGCTGGGCGCGGTGGCTCATGCCTCTAATTCCAGCACTTTGGGAGACCGAGGCGGGCAGATCACTTGAGGTCAGGAGTTTGAGACCAGCCTGGCCAACATGGTGAAACCCCATCTCTACTAAAAATACAAAAGACTAGCTGGGCATGGTGGTGCATGCCTGTAGTGCCAGCTACTTGGGAGGCTGAGGTGGGAGGATTGTTTGAGCCTGGGAGGTCGAGGGTGCAGCGAGCCAAGATTCCACCACTGCACTCCAGCCTGGGTGAAAGAATGAGATGCCCGCCTCAAGAAAAAAAACCAACCAACCAACCAAACAAAAAGTATTGATTTCACACTGTGAAAGTTGAACTTTAGTTCTTTTATAATTTGTCACCACTTTATCTACATGTCCTTCTCATCCTCTTAATACAGTTAACTTGCTCAACATTCAGAATTTATAATTTTATATTTTTCTTTAATCTCTTATTTGCTTAGTTTTCTGTGTACTTGCTACTAATTCAACCCCAAATCTCTGTCAGTTGTCTAAATCCGCACTCAGTCCCATGAAGTACTCTGTCAATGGCATGTTCTTGATGAAGTCTTCCTTGGTTCCTTCTGACCTACTCTAATCTGGGCTGCTTGGTCGCTAGGCCTCGCTCAGTTTCATCCAGGGATTCCTTTCGCCTTTCTCCTATTTCTTGTTTCTCGCACTTTCCTCATTCCTTATTTTGTTTCTTCATTATTTTGTTACTCTGTGCATTCTCTAGCAGCTTCCTGAATGAAGGAGCATGGCAGGTATATTTTTTTAGATCTTGGATCTTTGAAAATGCCTCTACCCTTTAATATGGTTGGTATTTTGGCTAGTTATAGAATGAGAGCTTTGCGGTGTTTTGCCTTCAGATTTTTTTTTTTAAACTTTAGAGATGGGGTCTCACTCTGCTGCCCAGACTGGAGTAGAGGCACGACATGGCTCATTGCAGCCTTGAACTCCTGGCCTCAAGCAATCTTCCCAAGTAGCTGGAACTACAGGTGCACACCACGATGCCTGGCTAAATTTTTATTTTTTTTTTCAGATGGCATCTTACTCTATCACTCTATTGCCCAGGCTGGAGTGCAGTGGTCCGATCTCGGCACTGCAAACTCTGCCTCCCGGGTTCAAGTGATTCGCCTGCCTCAGCTTCCAAAGTGGCTGGGATGACCGGTGCCTGCTGCCACGTCCAACTAATTTTTTTAAGGAGAGACGGGGTTTCACCATATTGACCAGACTGGTCTCGAATTTCTGACCTCAGGTGATCCGCCCGCCTAGGCCTCCTGAAGTGCTGGGATTACAGGTATGAGCCACGGCATCCAGCCTGGCTAATAATAATAAAGTGTTTTTTTTTTTTTTTGTAGAGTCAGGGTCTCACTATATTGCCCACACTGGTCTCGAACTCCTGGCCTCAAGGGATCCTCCTGTCTTGACCTCCCAAAGTGCTGGAATTTTAGGTGCAAGCTACTGTGCCTGGCCTTTTCCTTCATACTTTAAAAAGTATTGATCCATTGTCTATCCAGTATTGATAAGAAGTCTAAAGCTTTATTGGTATCTATTCCTTTGACTGTAACTCATTTTGTTTTTTTCCTTAGAAGCCTGCAGAGGTTTCTCTGAGTCCTTAGTAGTTTGAAATATCATGATGGCCTTGGTTGAGATCTAACTCATCTATTTGGCTGGACTTTTCTGAGAGCCTATTCAGTTTGGAAACTGAATCCTTCAGACCTTGAAAATGTTTGTATCTCTCTTCCCTGCCCTTTCCCTCCTTCTTTTTTTTTTTTTTCTTAAGAACAGTTATTGAGATCTACATAGCCCAGTATGGTATAGCTACTAGCCAAATGTGGCCTTTTGAGCATCTGAATGTGGCTAATCAAATTTGAGATGTTTTCTCAGTACAAATACAAAACAGATATACAACAAAATTAATTTTACCTATTTTTAAATTTTTCCATTGTGGCTAAATTTTAAAATTATTTATGAGGCCTGTACCACATTTCAATTTCCAGTTCTATTAAAATTTTTTTGACCGGGTTCTCCAATTTTTGTATCTTGTCTCTATTTCCTATTGCTTCATCTTTTTTGAGGGAGGGGGTTTCTTTCTGGGAGGGTTACACAGCTTTATCTTCTAAACATTGTCTTTTTATTTCTGCTATTGTAGTTTTGATTGCTCAGAGCTTTTCGGTTTCCTGAATGTTCCTTTCATAAAATGTATCATTCTGTTCATGTCCTGTGATTGTAATTTCTTCTCATATCTCTCTGAGGATATAATCACTGTTTTTTTTTTCTTGTTGTTAAAGTTTTATTTTCTCTGAAAGTCTCTGTTTTATCCAAGCTATCTTTCCCCCACTATTTGTCTGGCCTGTATCTTTTGTGCAAGAGGCTTTACTCAGGTATCTAGTGATTCTCTGTTCTCTGCTCATATTTGAGAGTAGGTGCTAAAAAGCTGATCGGAGGTTCTGATCTGTGGGTTTGTTGACTCCAGGCTTTACTGTAAAATGAATGGGCTGGGTTTTTTCCTTGGGGATGACCCAGTGTCGAATCTTCAGGTCTTTATTCTCGGGCAGGTCAGTTCCCCAGAAAAGCTTTCAGTTTCCTGCTTGGAGGTTCAGGGCAGGTAGGCAGCATTCTGTTAGCTGAGTGAGGAATGAAGACTGGGCATCTCAGCATTCAGTTTGCATACACTCATTTTATCTGTTTTCAAGATCGCATTCACATCTCAACTGTGCCCAATGCTCCCCAGTCCGGACGCCCTTCTGTTTTGTGCTCTTCAGGGAATAAAGCACCAGTTTTATGCTAGGGTAGAGGACATGGCTTGAAGATAACTGTTCATTTAAACAAACTTTCTATAAACTCTCCTGTTTTTGGCTTACCTTTACCCCATCCCCACTTTCAAGGTTCCTAGCATCTCCAAATCCTGAATGTCTGCAAGTTTTGCTGGGTATATCTGGTTGCTTCTTGGTTTTTCCCTCTGGCTTAGGATTCAGACAGTCTGCTATGTTTATTCGCTTTCCAGTTTCCAACACTTTGCTATTATCTCTTATTTCCTTTATGAAGCCAACAACACTAATTGGTAATAGGGAACAATATTTTTCTGAAGAACCACAAATTCATGGCAAAGTAAAACTTTTCAAGAGAAGATTCTAGGAGACCGCTGTTCAAATTCCCACTTGTAGGCCTGAAACCATATTAAGAACCACACCTGTAATGGTTAAACAAAATCTCCTTTGGGGAGAGAAAAGTGAAAATAACTAAGTTGTAACTGTTGACTGTTTTCAAGTAAGTCACATTAAGACCTGTGTGTACCTTTTGAGAAAGATATAGTTTACATTATTGCAAAAAACTGAACATGTAATACTTGAAAACGTTTTTTACTTTTTGTTTTTGAGATAGGCTCTCATTCTGTTGCCCAGGCTGGAGTGCAGTACTGCAATCATGGCTCACTGCAGCCTCAACATCTTGGGCTCAAGTGAGACTCATGCCTCAGCCTCAGAGTAGCTGGGACAAGAAGCATGTACCACCACACCTGGCTAATTTTTTAAAAACTTTTTGCAGAGATCGGGTTTTCCTACGTTGCCCAGATTGGGCAAAGTCTTTTTGAGAAATATATTTTAAAAATCATACCAACTTGATGTTTAACATTGTTATTAAAGAACAAAGGGGACATTCATTGAACCTAATGAATGTGAGGTAATAGGATGGCTATGGTGAGGTTCAGTCATATCATATCTACTCTTAGAATATAAAAGGGGCAGAATGTTGTCCCACTGTGAAACTATTCCTGATTGTGGGGAAAACCTTGAAGAGTTACATCTCATAAGCAGAGGGCTGTGATACAGGTAATAATATCTGGTGGTTACACTGTTGTGTCACTGCAAGCTCCGCCTCCTGGGTTCATGCCATTCTCTTGCCTCAGCCTCCCGAGTAGCTGGGACTACAGGTGCCCGCCACCATGCCCGGCTAATTTTTTCTAGTTTTTAGTAGAGACGGGGTTTCACCGTGTTAGCCAGGATGGTCTTGATCTCCCGACTGCGCGATCTGCCCACCTTGGCCTCCCAAAGTGCTGGGATTCCAGGCGTGAGTGAGCCTTTTTTTTTTTTTTTTTTTTTTAAAGTAATAATGGTTTTAGTACAAAAGGGGCAGGGGACTGTCCTCTGACTGGCCTCTAAGATCTCTTGGTGTCTTGAAATTCCTCATTACTTATCTTAAGAGAACCAAAATCAGGCAAAAGGGAATAAAGTAAATCTTGATTTTGACCAAGGATGTAACAGGACTGAAGTGAAAGGCAACTTATTTTACTGTGAAATAGAAACTGAAATACTTTAGTTACTTGCACTTTCAATTAAGAACTAAGACAATCTTCTCTTTACAATAAATAAAGCTAAAGCATACCCTTCAGTTCTTTGCTAATAACCATAAGAGAGAAAGAAAGCTAGAATGCAAAGATAGATATACTGCCTGAATATTTGCCAAAGGCACATAACTGCTTTTAAATACCTGAAAGATGTGGTACATTAATCAGATATAATTATCTGAATATTGGAGAGCATAAGGATCAATGAACGAAAGAGAAAAAATGAACAGGCTGCCTCAGTGGATGGTTACCTGTCCCTGAAAAGTTTAGCAACAGGGGCTGGATGGATAATACATGCAGGACATGGTCAGAGGGTATTTTCTTATTGAAAGTACTGGATACTCTCTAAAGTTTCTTTC